ACTACCAATAAAAGCTAAGTTTCGGCTTTAAGTGGATGTTGTTTGTTGTCAATCAAGTACGTATGAATGTGCAAATTACTGAAGTTTACAAAAATAACTTTCCTCTTCAATGGGTTGCTAAAAATTTAAAGCCAAGTGGCAAGTGGCATTCTAGCCGAGCGCCAGGCACTTAAGCAAGATAAGTGGCAGCTGGCACCACAAGCCGAACGCCAGACACTTGCTAAAAATTTAAAGCCAAGTGGCAAGTGGCATTCTAGCCGAGCGCCAGGCACTTAAGCAAGATAAGTGGCAGCTGGCACCATTAGCCGAACGCCAGACACTTGCTAAAAATTTAAAGCCAAGTGGCAAGTGGCATTCTAGCCAAGCGCCAGGCACTTAAGCAAGATAAGTGGCAGCTGGCACCACAAGCCGAACGCCAGACACTTGCTAAAAATTTAAAGCCAAGTGGCAAGTGGCATTCTAGCCGAGCGCCAGGCACTTAAGCAAGATAAGTGGCAGCTGGCACCATTAGCCGAACGCCAGACACTTGCTAAAAATTTAAAGCCAAGTGGCAAGTGGCATTCTAGCCGAGCGCCAGGCACTTAAGCAAGATAAGTGGCAGCTGGCACCACAAGCCGAACGCCAGACACTTGCTAAAAATTTAAAGCCAAGTGGCAAGTGGCATTCTAGCCGAGCGCCAGGCACTTAAGCAAGACAAGTGGCAGCTGGCACCATAAGCCGAACGCCAAGCACTTGCCATAAACAAGCACACGACAAAGTTAATATAAAAGAAAATAGAGAAAAGGTATATATGTATTGAAAATAGGTTGAACAGAGCACAACACAAAGGAAAAAGGGAAAAAGAGTTCTGTCATTTCATTCATAATAAGCATTGAGTTTACAAAAAATGAGATATTCAAGTCACACTGTTACAAAAAAGTATGGAATCGAAGAGTCCGGAGGAGTCCTAGCTAGCTGCCTCAGTACCGACAGCATCCTGGTTGTGCCGACCCGCCTCCTCGGTCCCATCAGCCGTCTCACCCTCACGAGGTGGGGAATCAAGATGAATGACAGAATCGTTCTGCTGGGGGTCAACGTCAGCAGTGGCTATGGGAGGTACCACAGTTGACGATTGAGGAGCGGTTAGAGGCAGAGCGGTAGGAGGAGCTGTAATGATCCTAGAGGAAGCAATGTCCTGGCACTCATCAAATATGCGCTCCGCTTCGGTGGGTTCTGGGTCAACATAGACCCCCAGAGGGTCGATCCCTAAATCCTTGTCGACCTCATCTGGAGTGGAGCTGGTCTGTCCCTCATCCGGAACTCGGTCGGAGAAACCTTCTCGGAATCCTTGAGCATATCTAAGAGCACCGACCCTTGAGAACCGAGCATGAAGAGCCAGCATCCCACCGTTCACTCTGCTGATTGCATCAATCAGAGCGGTACGCTCGTCCAGAGCTCTCTTCTCAAAAGCCATCCGAGCAGACTGTTCATCAGCCAGAAGGCGCTGGAGCTCTGCCTTTTCGTCTCTGATTGAATCACGCTCAGTCTGCCAGACGCTCTTTTCAAGCTGGAGGGCATCCTTCTCATCCTGAAGAGAGTCGTTCTCCTTCTTCAGGACATCTCTCTCTTGTTCAGTTTTTTCAAGCCGAGCCAGTACCTCGGTATTCTTGCTGGCGAGAAGGTCGTTTTCTTTATTGGCCACCTCCAGGCTATCAGAAAACTTACGAGCCCTGGCGTTCCCCATCTCTACCTGCTTCTGCATAGCCATCATTCCGAACAAAGTCTGCATAGATGTACATTAATAACGGTTAAGCTAATAGTCAGGTCGGGCGAAGGCAAGGCCAAATAATATGAGAGAATTCATGAGTTGGAAAATAAAAGTCACCTCCATGGCAGATTGGGGAAAGCGGCTGAACACATCCTTTTGGGATAGGCCTTTCGCCGCCTCAAGGTCTTTCGGAGTCCACATGCTCCTGTAGTACGCCATGGCGGTCTGGCCATCCTTCAGCATGGTCTCGTTCGGTTTCACGAACGTCCCATCCGTTCGGGTGTACCGAGGGGCCCATGGTGGTAAGGTGGGAAGAGAAGGGGAGCCTGAAGCAGAAGCAGAGGCACCAGCTGCAATAGGCCCGGAGGGGGCAGGAGCTCTGACCGGGAGATGCAAGAGAGCACCCGGCCCGGAGACCTGGGTCCTTCTTATGAGAGGTTCCTCCTCAGGATCGACTCCACTGTCAGGATGAGGCCTTTTGCCTCGTTCTTTGTCCCGAGCGCCTCCCGCGGCAGCAGGGGCTGTGGTAATTTTGGGGGACGCGCTCGGGTTGGCAGCAGGGGTGCTGACAACAGAGTCAATAGCCACCGTGCTCGGGATAGTGTCAGAGATGGTGGCTGAGGAAGAGGCTGATGCTGGAGAGGAGGTTGCCCCAGCAGCAGTAGTGGCTGGGGGAGTATTTTTCTTCCTGCCAAAAGAAGGAATTTGAAGCCTGCTCATGTTGTAGCCGAGGGATGAGAGCGCTAGGAGGTTGTCTGAAGTGAGGAGGTCTGAGCAGGAAGGAATATCGTTCAGAACGTATTTCTTCAAGTAATTACTCCTATCCCTGCAAACACTGTAGCTCAAGTCATCACAAGGTATTCCTAAGGAACGGCATAAGAAAGTACAAAAGCGGGGAATGCATGTTTCGCAGGGGCAATCATGTTTGTGAGATTTGAATTTCTTATATGAGGAAACAGAACAGACGCCAAAGGCGCTCGGGATTGGGTAACCCTCTGCAGCCGGCGAAGACCAAGCCCCACTAATGCCCACGATGTTATCCTTCCAACCCTTTTCAGATTTTATTGTGTCCGTACATATGGACATCTTCTCGAACGGGTAGAGGTGATAGAAGGGCTCGTTAGTTCGGATCTTACTGACCTTATAACACAGAAGAAGATCTATGAGGTCAAGGTCCAGATTTCTGTCACGAATCAACAGAAGCATAACGGATATGATTCTAAAGAAATTGGGGTTTACCTGCAGGGGGGATATCCCCAGTCTATTGAAGACATAACTAAAGAAGGGGTGCAGAGGGAACCTAACGATATTCAATTGAAGGTTCGTGAATAAAACTTCACCGGGCAGGAGGCCGGCACCGGTCATAATATTAACATCCTTAGGGCAAACCCTAACTTCGATGTTGTCAGGAAGTCTAAGTCTCATACGAAGAACATCTAGATCTACAACCATAGTGGAAGTGTTTGAAGGATCTAAAAGAGGTAAAAAGAAGCCTGCCGAAAGTAAAAAGGAACAAAACTAACCTCTGAGGTAGAAAGCAACAAAGAGCACTGCAAGACCGCTGGAAGAACGACTCTTGAAGGATTTCACCGGAAAAAGCTTAGCGCTGTTCTAAAAAGAGAAAGATTTGACTGATGATGGAGACGGTAAAAAGGCATGGAGTGGCATTCTAGAGCCTTATAAAGGCGAGGGGGACCCGAGGGCCGAAGCGTCAGGAAGGTGAGAACTTCATCGAGCCCCGGAACATTGATTCTGGATCTGACCGTCCGTTCCCCCATGTGGGTTTCTCGAGCCGTCAACGTCATGATGAGACGCCTTCAATAATTACCCCCTTATTAAACAAGGGGTAATTATGGGGGCAGTTGAGGAGGCCCGATAGGACATGGGCCGGATATGACTTGCAAACGCGGCATTGAGTCCGTACAGGTAGGTCAGGCCCATAAAAAGGCACTACCATATGGGCCGAACGCGCATAGGCCCATCAAAGAGGACCGGGACTCATGGAGGAATGGGCCTAGATCCAGCAGTCCATCGACATTGGTAAATCTCTATAAATAGGAGGAGTAAGGTAAAGAAAAGGGGATCTTTTTGGTTGAGATATAGGAATTCTAGAGAGAGAGTGGGAGAAGGAATTTCTTGTATCTTCATCAATAGACCGTAAAAAGAATTTGATTGCTCCGTTTGCCCTTCGATTTTGTCTAAAGGTATTATATGTTAGTCCTGTAATCCATGGCCAGTGTGGTGTTGATATTCATTTGGTTCTGTAATCCATGGCTATGGCTATGGCGGTGCTTAGATTCAGTTTTGCTTATTTGTTTTGATGGATGAAAGATATCCGGATCGATCGATGTATTTAATTACCTGTTCAGACATGGAGGATTGCAGAAACGACGACGAATAAGAGAGGGTATCACAGAGAGAGAAGATTTCTGGATGCGCCCAATGGTAATTTTGAGAAGTATCATAGATGATGTGGCAGTCACATAAGTTGCCATGTAGGATTCGGACCAAAGCTCGGCGGACTATGTTATATTGTTTGAATTCTAAATTCAGCGTCACCCATCGTAGCATTTTCAATAGACTCTTTAAAATTATAGCCTCTGAATTTGCCACGTCAACATTTTAGAGTCTCCAAATTTTAACTACCGCATATACTCTAATAGTGTATTTTTACGCTCCAAAAATATTAATGTTTTAACACTTTTAAAATTTAAAATAAAATTTATTTTTTAACTTTTTCTGAACGACTATAATTTTCGTGTTATATAAACAACCATTTGTTTATCTTATCATTATTATATTCATCTCAACTTATTTTAACAAAATATCAATTCACATATCTTTCAATCTCAAAATTCCAATGACCTCATCACGATTTTTTCCTTTGTCAGGCTCTAATTCTTCATCTTCTTCATCATTCTCTTCATCAGATAACGTTATTAACGCAATGATTCAGCGTAATCAAGAAGCCTTTCGTGAGATTTTGAATTCAGTAAACCCAGAGATAGTAGAGCAAGTTTTTAAACCGTGTAAGAGGTGGTACATTCATCGTGATCGAGAGGGAAGCCACCGTCAACTAATGAAAGACTACTTTGACGAGAATTGCACATATCCACCGGAGTACTTTCACAGACGATTTAGGATGCGATGAGAACTATTTCTTCGTATCCTGAATGATGTTAAAGCTTATGACGACTACTTCATCCAAAAAAGGGATGCAATAGGTCGTTTGGGGTTGTTTTCTATACAAAAGATGACAACTGTAATACGTATACTCGTATATGGTTGTGCAACCGATCATTATGACGAGTATATTAAAATCAGTGAGAGCACTGCCATTGAAACCCTGATGACATTTTGTAAGGCTGTTATTGGTGTGTATGGGGAAGAGTACATGCGCCCACCCAACGAAGTCAACATAGCACGACTACTTCAAGAAGGGGAGGAGAGAGGATTCCCGGGTATGCTTGGTTCTATCGACTGTATGCACTGGGAGTTGAAAAATTGTCCAGTGGCGAAAGGACGTTTTCATACGGATACGCTCATATTGGAGGCGGTTGCCTCAAAAGATTTATGGATCTGGCATGCATTCTTTAGAATGCTTGGTTCACACAATGATATTAACGTGCTAGATCATTCTCTGGTATTCGACAGTATCGCTATTGGCCAAATTCCTTTGGTTAATTTCGTTGTGAATGGCCATTATCATACAATAGGGGTATTACCTATTTGATGGTATATACCCTAAGTGGGTAACTTTGATGCAGACCATCCCGCACCCAACTACAGTAAAAGAAAAACTTTTTGCTAAAAGACAAGAGGCCTGTAGGAAAGATGTGGAACGAGCTTTTGGGGTCTTACAGAGGAAGTGGACAATAACACATGGACCAGTGCATTTTTAGGATAAAGGGGACTTGTGCCTTATAATGAAAACGTGCATCATCCTTCACAACATGATCATTGAAGATGAGCGTCATGCCAATGTTGGAAGATGGACTCCGCCACCGGAGGAGACAATCTCAATTCTCACTTTAATTCAAAATCCATCAGTCTTAGCGGCACACATCTATCCTTGCCAAGTCCAAATTCGCAATAAAGAGACAAATACGCAGTTGAGGAAATATTTAATTAAAAATTTGTGGAACCGCTTTGGTGAAGCACGTGTTTAATTTATGTTGCATTATTTTATTTTTAAATTGTTATGAAGTTTATGTGATGGAATATTTATTGTGTAATGTTTTATTTTGAAATAAATAATTAAATTGTTTGTTGGTTAAATTATTTAGCCAATATGTATGAAATATTGATTAATGTCATTTGATTTATTAATTTATAGTGAAAACAAAGACATATTTTTTTTAAATAAAAAAAAAATCATATTTGAAATAAACAATGAAAGGTTTTTTTTTATTTATATTTTTTAATTATTATTATTTTTAAATAAATAAATATATAATTATTTTTTAAAAAAAGAAATTCAAAAAATAGGTTTTTGTGCCAATATAGCCGTTAAGGCACTGTTTGGGTGTGCTTAAAATGGCTATATGTCAGCAGGAATATTTTAAAAAGTAATTTTTTTTTTTTTAAAAAAAAAAAAAAATCACTTTTCTTTATTTTTTTTAAAACTTTTTTTGCCCAGAAAAGATTTTAAGGCACTGTTTAGGTCAGCCAAACAGTGCCTTAATGGCTCTTTGGTTCAATTATTTTGAGGAAAAAAAAAAGGAGACAAAAAGAAGCCAAAAATCTGTATATATATTTTTTTTCAAGCAAACATGCCCTTAGGAACAGTGTTCTGGGTTAAAACACTATTTGAGCCAGGATTAAAAAAAATAAAAGAATACCGTTGCGAGCTTGCCAATTGCCAAAGGGGTCGCTGCTTTCAGCGATCCATTCCCCGACCCAATGGGTGCGGCCCAATTTCTTGTGAGTCCATTGGAAGACTCCAATTGCGGAATTTGGCCCAAAATCACTGGATTTTGAACCATTGGACTTGCTCTCAGTAGACCGACAATGCAAGACCAATAGATCACCAAGTTAAGGTCCTGTTTGTAGGGGACAAACTGATTAACGGAAAGGCCCATTGGTATTTACCATTCTACATAAAAAAGGTGTAAGGGCCGTACGAGTATAAGTTTGGCCTAACTCACATAATTTCGTTCAGGAAGCCCAAAGTTGATACTTCATAAGCCCATTAAATAAAGTTTCATCTCAGCCATTAGATGTTAAAGCATCTCAACCGTTGGTTTTCTAAAGCTAAGACATATTATTACTAACCTAGAGGATATAACTAGAAGCCTAACACTGACGTGTCAGAAGTAGGGTTGCAAGTTGGGCCGGTTAGCCCAGCCCAGCCCAACCCCAACCCAAAAATTTTAAAATTTGGACACTCAATTTACAAATCGGGTTCATGCTCGGGTTGGGTTTTGTCAAAACCCAGACAATTCGGGTTGGGCTCGGGCTCAACCCGAACCCAACCCAAAACCCAAAATTAATTTTTTTTTTTTTTCTCTTTTCTCTCTCCTCCCCGAAATTTTTTTTCTCTCTCCTCTCTTTTCTTTCTCTTTCTTCTTTCTTCTTTTTGCCCGAAATTTTTTTTTTTTTTTTTCTCTCTCCTCTCTCTTCTTTCCCTTTCTTCTTTCTGCCCGAATTTTTTTTTTCTCTCTCTCCTCTCTCTTCTTTCTCTTTCTCTTTCTCTTTCTTCTTTCTTCTTTCTCTTTCTCTCTCTGCCCGAATTTTTTTTTTTTTTTTTTTCTCTTTTCTCTTTTCTTTTCTCTTCTTTCTCTTTCTCTCTCTCTCTGCCGCCGTCCTCAGCCGATTCACCGCCGCCGCCTTCACTTCCAAAAATAAAAACAAAATCCATACATACAAGTTAGCAGTTGCAGAGAGAGAGGGGGGCAAGCTTGAGACGGCTGAAGCTTGCGAACGGCAAGAACTGGAACAGCTGGCGATGGAAACTGAAACATATGGGTTTTGATTTTTTGAACAATCTGAAATGATCTGAAATATATGGATTTTGAACTTTTGATTCTTGCAGACAGATCTGAAATATATGGATTTTGAACTTCTGATTCTTGTAGATTTTGTGGTTTGAAGTTGCAGAGAGAGAGAGAGAGTTGAGAATGAGACAGGGGAGGCTGAAATGATTTGCCCTAATTTTTTTTTTGTTTTTTAATAATATATATATATATATATATATATATATATCTATATAATATATATATTTTCCAAAAAAAATATATAAATAATTTTTAAAAAGTCAACCCGTCAACCCGACCCGACCGGCCCAAAAATATTCGGGCTGGGTTTTTACTATAACCCATGTTAAGTATAATTCGGGTTGGCCCAACCCAACCTGATTCGGGTTGAGGTTGGGTTAGGACTGGGTTAGGTTGAACCCGTCTAACTTGCAGCCTTAGTCAGAAGTGCCGTTCCAGTTCGAGTTCCAGATCCACCACGTGATACAGCGCAGAGCCCTCCGCATGCGATACAACTCCCTGTCTGTCTCAAGGATCTTAAGGTGCAACACTTGCAAGATCTGTAATACAAATCTACAAGAGTCCGCTAAGTTACGCTTTCATCATGAAATTTTGTTCTGTAAATTTTCCTCGGATTTCGTGATCTAATGAACTGTCTTCAACAGTTTCCTTAAAAAGATTTTATTATTTATTTATTTTAGGATCAGCTCTCTCTTTATAGTAATTTTTGGAAAGAGTTTTTTATTTATTTTTTATGGATTTCTGTTTGTAAAACATTGAACGTCATAATAATAATACTTTTGAGACTCTCAAATTTGAGTCTGTTGTACTTCCCAGCACTTTATGAACACTTTTCTGCCTAGATCGATCGGTCAAAATAGTTGTTTGATTTATTGGTGTAAAACAATTATGACGTAACTAATAGACTGAAATATCTTTTCTTCCAAATATGCCCCTGCAGCAATACCGCTGATTTATTGGTGTAAAACAATTATGGCTTAACTAATAGACTTAAATATTTTTTTTCTTTCAAATATGCCCCTGCAGCAGTACCTTGATTATTCGACTTTATTTTTCTATTTTTCTCTAGAAAAGCGGCTTGGACCGGGCGTATGACATTGAACCTCCGTCAATGGGCCTCGAGGTCTTTTCCAAATACCAATTGCCTAAACCTGTATATATATGTGTGTGTGTGTGTGTGGGTGTGTGTGTGTTTTTAATAGGTTAAACCGGTATCACGTTGCCTAAGTTGTCTAATCGTGGTTAGACACTGAAACATGTTGTTATTACTTTCCAAGTCGGTACAAACCCAATTTAACCACTTCGCTCGCACAATGTATATAAAATCGTTCTCTTCTTTTTATCGTATAAGTTTATACACAAAATTGCTCTCTTCTTCGCTCTTGTTTGGTTTTTAAAAGCAAAACTTTCGCTGTGTAGGAAGAACGAACTTACGGGCGCAGAGCCCTCCGCATGCGATACAACTCCCTGTCTATCTCAAGGATCTTAAGGCGTAACACTTGCAAGATCTGTAATACGAATCTACAAGAGTTCTGTAAGTTTTGCTTTCATCATGAAATTTTGTTCTGTAAATTTTCCTTGACAAAAGATTAGATTTCGTGATCTATGTACTGTCTTCAACAGTTTCCTTAAAAATATTTTATTTATTTATTTTAGGATCAGCTCTCTCTTTTCTATAGTAATTTTTGGGAAGAGTTTTCTTTTTATTATTTTTATTATTGTTATTATGGATTTCTGTTTATAAAACATTGAACGTCATAATAATAATACTTTTGAGACACTCAAATTTGAGAAATTTGTACTTCCCAGCACTTTATGAACACTTTTCAGCCCAGATCTATTGGTCAAAATAGTTGTTTGATTTATTGGTGTGAAACAATTATGAATTAACTAATAGACTTAAATTTTTTTTCTTCCAAATATGCCCCTCCAGCAATACAGTGATTTATTGGTGTAAAGCAATTATGACTTAACTTTCAAATATGCCCCTGCAGCAATACCGTGATTATTCTACTTTCTCTTTCTATTTTTCTCCTATTTTTGACTTGGACCGGGCGTATGATATTGAACCTCCCTTAATGGGCCTCGAGGTCTTTTCCAAATACCAATTGCCTAAACGTGTATCAATTTATTTATTTATTTTTTAAAAGGTTAAACCGGTATCAAGTTGCCCGAGTTGCCTCATCCTAGTGAGACACTGAAACATATTATTACTTTCCAAGTCGCCCAATTTAACCACTTTGCTTGTTCAATGTATATGCATATAAAATTGTTCTCTTTTCCTTTTTATCGAATAAGTTTATACACAATTGCTCTCTTTTCGCTCTTGTTTGGTTTTTATATATCTCTAATCAGTTCATCTTCAATTATGCAGAAAACTGTAAGTTCAAATCCCATGGAGAAAACCAATAGACCAACCTCAATATGTTGTGCTAAAAACCCAAGGTACCATCTTTTTACTTATATATGGATTTATATTTCTCTATTTATTGATTTATTTTTTAGTGAATTAATATTGTTACAAAAATTCAGCACTACTGTGTTTCTGTTATCACACTTTCTTAATTATTTGTATTGTTTTTTTTCCTTCTTTAGTTGCAATAGTGATAAGGATGATAAAGGTGATAAGGATGATAAAGGAGGAGGGTTGTGTTTGGAGGATCACATTAGTGGACTTCCAGATGTTGTACTTGTTTCAATCTTGTCGCTATTGACAATGAAAGAAGCTGGAAGAACTTGTATCTTATCAAAGAGATGGAGGTATATCTGGACACACATTAGTAGTTTGAACTTCGATGCCTCACATATAATCAATGGAATTCTACTCGGTGAAAAGGAAGTTGAAGTAGAAAAGCCTTTGTATTTGAGTTGGGTTAATCAAGTCTTGAAATCGTACAACGCTTCAACTATAGATGAATTCAGAGTACAATTTGATTTTGATGAAAGTTATAGATTTGATATTGACAATTGGGTAAACTTTGCAATGGAAAAGAGAGTTAAAAGGCTTGAGTTGGACTTGACACAACGTACCGATTATAATAGAGCGGAAGAGGATTACAATTTTCCTGACCCCAATGGTATTACAAATCACCTGCCGTCATTGTCTCTCTGGTTTACTAGCTGCAACCACCTGACCAGTCTCTTGTTGACGCACGTCAATGTTACCGGACAAGTTCTCGAGTACTTCTTAACTAACTGTCCATTTTTGGAAAAATTGTATGTAAAACACTCTGACGTTCTCGTAAATCTGAAAGTTCCCCATCTATCACTCAAATTGAAGTATTTGGAGATAATTCGCTGCTTCAATGTGGAAAGTATTGAGATTTTTGCAACGAATCTCTTGTCATTTAAGTACTTCGGACCAAAAATAAGCCTGCCATTTAAGAATGTACAGCCGCCTGTTGATTTGTATATTGGGGGTGCATATTGCGATTATCTAATATATAAGTTTTTGGATATTTCAAGCTTTCTTTCTCAGCTAGAGAGCCTTACGTTGCATATTGCCAGCATGACGCAGGTTACGAACTTTAACTGATTCATTTGATCTCCTCCCCTTCATCTTTATTTTATTCCTTTTTTAACATAATTTTTTTTCATAATTATTATTTTTTACATAATTATCAATTTGTGCTGGTTGACTTTTTCTTTGATTTACTCAGCATACCTTTGAAGATCCTGGTCTTGAAGATACTAAATTTCCTGTATTACATAAACTCAAGCGACTGGAGTTGATAGTTGGTGCAACGGATGATGACAGCCTTACTGTTTTTACTCCCCTGATAGAAGCATGTCCTTTCTTGGCTAAATTTGTGTTCAAGGCAATAAGTTTTACTTTACAACCTGCATTTCTAAACTCTTGAGATTTATTGCTTTCATAACTGAATTTTCAAATAGAAATTTTGATTCATTTGGACAAGCTTTTAATTTTCACAAGTAATTGCTTCTTTATAGGTATTACAAAATTACAATATTACCAATGATAGGAAAAATGATCTTACAGTGCTTAGCTTAGCTTGCTTATTCTCCTGATTGTTCAAGTAATTTCTAAATGAATATTTATCATTAAGTTGTTCCCGTGTTGGTTTAATATTTACTGCCTTGGAGTTTTACTGGTCTTTTAATATGTTACACGTTCTTAGATGGCTTTATTTTCATGATTGTTCAAGAACTCCTCCCCGAGTAGGACCTCTTGAGGTCTGTGGCCTTTTTCGGTTAGATTTACTCTTGTTACTCTTCAAAACTCTGTGAATTCATTTTGAATGCAGTGTTTTCTTATGTCTAACATGTTCCATTTTGCCCGTGGTGGTTACTCCATTAAGCCAGTGTTTACTTATGTCTAAGTTGTTACATTTTATCTGTGGTGGTTATTCCATTAAGCCTGTTACTGTTGTGATTCTAACTTGAACGGTTATGATTAGATGCTTGGTAATTTGGTTTTGTATGCTAGTTGTCTTCAGGCGTTTGATTTCCCTGGTGTAGCAATGTTGTAATTTTAACTTGAGCAATTAGGATTTGATGCTTGGTAATTTGGTTTTGTATGCTAATAGCTGCCCATCATATGACTCCACTCCTCTTTGTTACAGCTTGTATGGGGCAAGCCATTTCGGAAAAGAATGCATGATAGGTTTACTTCTCGGCCCCATGAGTACCTTAAGGTGGTGGAGTTCATTGGTTTTGTTGGGCGTACAAATGATGTTGAGCTTGCCATGTATTTAATCAAAAGTGCTGTGAATCTTGATAAAATTACTTTTGATCCTCGAGATCCAGTTCTTATAGGAACTCCATGGGAATTCATGGTGACCAAGGAAAAAACAGCAGCGAGAAAGCGCGCCAAGAAGCTTGGAACCAAACTTCCTGTTGGGGCAGCTTTGGTAATCCTTTAATTATATATGTTTGTATAAGCTATTTCTTCTACATCCTTCTCATTCTTATTTTATGAAGGATCTTCAATCTGTATTGAACAATAATGGGAAAGAACACATTTTGTTTGTGGAATGACAGACGTTGAATAAAAATGAATTTACTAGCATTTTTTAGACTTTGTCCAATGTGTGTATAAGCCGTTGCATGTACATCCTTGCCTCATAAATTTATTTGGTATTATATATGCTTAAAAAAAATAAAAACTTGGGAAAAGGCTTTAAGTACAGAGATTTTTCATTTATTTTGTTTTTATTACAATATCAGAATTTTATTAATCCACTTTTTCTCAGTGGCTTCTTTGTTCTATTAGGCTTTTAAAACCCCGGAGTAGTAAGAAAGACATTTGGAATATTTATTTATTTATTTATTTTTATCTTGTTAGAAAAACAAAGAACTTTATTGTTTTCCTTAAATTCAATAATCAAAGGGAGATGGAAAATGAAAATCTAAAAAAACTATTGGATGCATCAATATGAAAATATTTGGTAAAAAAAAAAAAAAAGCCTGTATTGATTATATATGTGTGTGTGTGTTATATACCTGTGGCATTTGTTATAAAAAATGTCTAACCAAATTAAGCTTTATGTTGTGTTACCCAAAAAAAAAAAAAAAAAGGGAAAATTAGACTTTATGGTGTGATGCCAAAAAAGAAAAAAAAAATGCCGTTTAAAAAAAAAAAAAAAAAAAAAAAAAAGAAGGAAAGGAAAATTTAAAAGTTCTCTAGTTAATTTTGTTTAGAGTAATGATATTCTGTCCGATCAAATTGACCTACTCCTAGTCCGAATCCTATGTATAACTGTCACGAAATTATCTAAATAGTTGATATTTTATTGGGCACTAAAGATACCAAAAATAAATATGAAAAGAATTTCTCTATTCATCTTCTTTGTTCTGCTGCTCCCTTGATTCTTTTTCTCTCTTGTTTCTTTCTCTCTTTAACTCACAATTCATCATTACAATTCTTAATGAACCTCTTTTTTTTTTTTTTTTTTTTTTTAATTTAAATCAAATCCCCAAAATTGATACAATATACGGAAGCCAAAATATATATTAAAAATGAAAAAATACCTTCAATCTTATTAGTGTTCGTTTTGTCCTCTTCAAGCAAACACACACACACACACACATATATATATATATATATATATATATATATATATATATGTATGTATTTTCCCTTTTGATTTTATTAACCAATAGAGACTTCTCAATGCTTTGTTTTCCTGTCAATTTTGCAAAGTGGGAAAGAAAGAACCATGAGTTAAAGAGAGAAAGAATCAAAGAAGCAGCAGAACGAAATTGAGAGATAGAGAGAGTTTGTCAAAACATTTTCAGCTTTTTTTCATATTTATTTTTGGTATCGCAAATAAAATATCAACGATTTAGGTAATTAGTAGCAATTACACGTATGATTCGGACTAGGAGTATGTCATTTTCAGCTCTTTTTTTTGGGTGGGGGGGGGGAGGTCAGTGTAAGTAAGGTCATTCTCAGCCACTATGTGTAGTTAGGACAAACCTCACTGGGTGCAAGCAAGGACGGAGGCAGCTAATGCCCACAAGGGGCAGCTGTCCCCCCTGACTTTTTTTTTCCTTTGGATGTCATATATGTAAACTAGCCATAAGCCAAGGGTTGTGCCCCTCCTGAACCCAAATCCCAGCTCTGTCCTTGGTTACGAGTATAATTTACCTAATTCTCAATCATGTTTGTTATGCCCCAACTGTTACTAGGATTCTTAAAAGCTTGCTCCCTTACTCAAAGATGTTGCTCACTGACTGAAACCTATGTTCTCACACTTGTGGTGCAGTCTATAGATATAGGATTTCATACTATAGTCGGTTTTTTATTTGCATTATTAGTTATTACTTATTATACTGTCATGTAATGGGTCGGCATAATATTGACTTTCTTTGGGTCATGTTAAAGAGATTTTTGATTGTTTTATTGCTTTTCCTTTTTCAGGGACTAGCATATGAAGAAGTCATACAAAATCTGCATTTTAATACTGCTAAAAAAATGTGCTAGATGTATTTTTTTTCCCCGGATTTTAACTGTCTGTTTAAGGTTTAATGCTATCTTCATTCACTTCCTTCCAGAGAATAGGGTGCTAGGTTGAAGCCTCGGCTAGGATGTAGTTTTATGTCATAGTTTATATATATATATATATATATATATATATATATATTGTATAAGCACGACTTTTAATCTAATTGGGTGGACATATATTGTGGACGCAATGTTGGTGGAAACTGGAAAGAAGTACACGAAGGACCAATGTAGACAAAAATTCAACACAATAAGAGCACTGTACAAAGATTGCAAACAAATATTATCTGAGACTGGTGTAGGGTACAACAGTGAGACAGGGATGATTATGTTGGAAGCTGAAAGATGGGTTCGATTGTGTAAGGTTAGTATTTCAATACGTGTATATTTACCATATATAAAGTAGAAGGGCTTGATGAACAATAATTGTAAGGTAATAACGTGTAAGTTCTCAAGTATGGCAAAAAAATAAAAAAAACAGGGGTGCAAGAATTATGAGCAGATGGTAAGGATTTTTGGGGTTACACATGCTACTGGTAAGCATGTCCATCCTTCTACAAAAGCACCCAAACCTCACCAAATGGCAATAATGTCTCAAGTGGCAACACATGAAGCTGCAATTCATAACATTGAGTGCCATCCGGACAAGATTGATGTAGAACAACCTAATCTCCCAAACCTGTAGGTAAAAAACCTAAGAAAGAAAGTTTTTCCTCCACAATGTCTCAAGTGATGGCATGTTAGACTGATATTAGGAACACGAAAGCCGATCGAATTGTCAAAGCCATAGCAGAATCATCTTCTAGTTGTCAACTATCTCATGTTAAAGAAATGCCTAAAGTTGAATCTCCCAGTAAAAAAGAAAAAGAAATGGATCCCCAGCTTGAGGAGTGCCTTAGGATCATCAACACATTAGTGGGGATTGATGATACCCATTATGCTAAGATCATAAGAATGTTTGGTGAGGACAAGGTGTGGAGGGATACATTTCTCCACATTCCTGATGACAGGAAGGTTGGGTGGGTGATGAATCAGCCTCTGTGATATGTTCGCTATCTTACTTTTATATGCTTTTGGATGACTGTTTTATAACTCTTTTTACATTATTGTTGGATGACTGTATTTATTTTCTTTATCTACTGCTTTTACATTACTGTTGGAAGACTGTATTTAATTCCTCTATCTACTGCTTTTACATTAATGATGGATGCCTATTTATGTTCTATATCTATTGCTTTTATATTATTGCTGGATAATTCTATGATTTGCTATGTATTTTATTGTTTTTGTATTATTGCTGAATAATTGTATTATTTGCTATATATTTTTCAATTTTTCAATTTTCCTTGTATCATTGTGTTGTTTAATTTTCATTACAATAATTGCTTCTGTTTATTCTTAAATAGGATAGTAGATATGGATATAAGGACAATATTAACCATGTATGTTAATAATGATGAGGAGGAAATTCTTGTATTGATTGCAACCATATATGAGTACTATCATAAACATTTTGATAAGCAACGTTGTATGGATTCCATGTTACAAGGGGAAGATTACGTATTCGAGATTTTAAATGGACATGAAGATAGGTGTTATGAAAATTTTCGGATATACCCCAATACCTTTAAGGCTTTGTGTCGTGAGTTGAAATTGTTAGGATTGAAAGATTCTACATTTGTAACAGTAGAAGAACAAGTTGCAATTTTCCCACTTACCGTGTCTCACAATGAAAGGAATCGTGTCGTTACTGAAAGATTCCAACACTCTACATCCACAATTTCATATCACTTTCATGCTATCTTAAAGTTAATTTGTGAGTTTGGGACTAAGATTATTGTTCCCCCAGATTTGAATGAAATTCCTAAATAGATAAAGAAAAATTCAAAGTTTTACCCATACTTTAAGAATTGTGTAGGAGCGATAGATGGTACTCATATCCATGCTGTAGTGGCAGTTGATCAACAAATACCCTTTTGTGGTAGAAAGGGTGATACGACCCAAAATGTCATGGTTGTGTGTTCTTTTGATATGAAATTCACATACATTCTAGCAGGGTGGGAAGGGTCTTCTAATGATTCGAAGATTTTAAATGAGTGCATTCAGAATGAGGATTTGAATTATCCATCACCACCCGAAGGTAAGAAAATTACCTTTCCACATTTATATTTAACATTAAAAATACGTTAAGTTTATTTTTTAATATTTAACATGATATGTAAGTTTTATTTTGTGGACTCTGGGTACGCCAATATATTTATTTTTTTAATTTTTATTTATTTATGTTAATTTTTATTACTGTATTCTTGTGATTTATTTTGTTATTATAATAATGATTAAAATAGTACATATATACTATAGTACAATTAATTGAATTTTTATATTAGAGTGTTAGTAATACTATATTAAATTACTAATTAAGTAATTGGCAAATATGATGTGGCATTTCACTTAGATCCCTTCCGCTATCTAGCAGCTAGGACTAGGGGTGCAACTTGGGTTGGGTAACTCGAACCCAACCCGATTTTTCATGGGCTTGGGGTTGGGCTTGGGTTGAACAATCTCAACCCAAATTTAATTAGGGTTGGGCTTGGGTTGAAGTGCTATTAACCCGAACTAACCCAAAGCCGAATTCTAATATTATTTTCATATATATTTTTACTTTTAAATACATTATATATAATATTTAAACTATGATTACTTTTTTACTTTTCAACTTCTTTTGTTAAATTTTAACTTATTATATGTTAACATTTAAGAGAATTAATTTTTTAAAAATTTGTTTGTAATTTATTAAAAATCTATAATTTTTTTTTTTTGTTTAAAACTAATTTAAGATCATACTAAATTTTTGGTGCAAGGATTAGCCATATGAGTAATCCGAATTAACCCGAAGTTTTTATTAGTAATCTAAGCCCGAGTTGTAAGCCCGAACTTAAAAGTAGAAAGATGGGTTGGGCTTGGGTTGAGTAGTTAAGGTTGAGGATAGGGTTAGGGTTGGGCTTGGGTTTAGTATTTCATATGGTGGGTTGGGTTCAAGTTATACCTCAAACCTGCCCAACTCGCTCGAGTTGCAGCCCTAGCTAGGAC